CAATTTGGGTAAATCTGGAAATGTGCTTGCGTGCCAGCAACGAGCAAGTCAGTTCCCTTGAACGCCCTAGCACCTCTAATCAATGCCAGCTGAAACAGCAGGTCGACCTGCTGCTGAATCCGTAGGCTTAAACACATACACACACACACACACACACACACACACACACACACACACACACACATGTATGGTCGGCTTTTGATGGCGATGTGCCCCCAACTACTATTTGTTGAAAGGGTAATAAGGGTATTTAATTCTATCTTGGGGCCCTTTTAGCTGACATTGGTCATAAATGGGGATAGCAGCAACCGGATGTTCCTCATTGATCCATGTCGGGCTTGTTCAGCAAGGGGTCAACAGTGAAGGACAACGTTGTACTGATCCGGTAGGATTTGCCCACTCGTGTTTCCCCCTGATTCACCTGACTAATATTAATTAATAACCCCGCATGCTTTCAAGATCGACAAGGTTCTGGAAACCCGATCTTGGGCGACATCTGTTTCCAACGATTAGTTGGAAAGTGTGGCCGGTGTCGTCCCCTTCAAGCTTCACTATATATAGTACATGTCATGAGTTATGAGTATTGACCGCTGCTCAGATCGTCCGAAAAGTTTTGACACGCTACCGCGTGCTACCCTCCTCTGAGTCGCTGACATCTCTTCAACTGTCGCAACTCCGTCTTGCAGTGGCTACCTAGGTGTGAATGGCACAAACGATCTGGTGCGACGGTGTAGAAATCCTCTTGAAGGGGGGGGTGCGTCAGCGTGTCATTTCCCATGTATGGTCTTTGCACATCCCGGGAATCGGTGTTGCTTAAGTATCTGGTCCAAATCCCTACTACAAACATGTTCGTTCCAAAGGTCGTATTGCCACGCCGAGTCAAACCTGACGGGATTTCTGAACCTACTCATTTCCTGGATTGGCAAACGAAAGTCTGAACTTTGTGCTTACCGCTGAAATGGTCTTCCCCGAAAGGTTAAAGTCCAGCAGCTCCGGGAGTAAGCCTATGCTTGGGACTGTTCCCACCCGGGGTTTAATTGTGGAGGTTGGGATATACAATTGATGGGAGCTCCATGCAAGCCGGATACCTTTAACCGGCAGTTGCAAGCGAACATTTCGCAAGTGAGTTGCTCGCAATGTTCAGAATTTGGGACCCCGAAAAGCTGACTTCCTTTATATGCTTCTTTAACAACCATCCAAGTGGGAGTTCCCTGCACAGAACCCCCCAAAACCGACTAGAATGTCCTTGCGACCGCGGGGCACTGCTCAAATCTTGGCTTCAACTGGGCTCCCTATGTTTTGATGATGCAACGGGCAACCAAAAAGTGAGGCTTAAAACCACCTAAAGAGACCTGCTCAAAGGCCTAAACCCGGAACATGGGCGAGGCGTTTGCCATTCCAGTTCGCCAAGAACGCGCCCAGCTGTTGCCCCAAAAAGTCACTCTTCGACTGTATTTTCATGGGGGCTGGGGGGGAGAGGGAGCCCAAAGCCCTCATTAAGCCCAGGCTCCCTCCCCCTCCCGCCCCCATGATTTTTTGTGGGCACTGATCCCAAGAGGGGGACTTCGGGACTTGACCGTTTCTTGGGCCCGGGCAGAGCTCTGAGCCACGAGCAGCCCGGCGGCTGAAGCACTCGCTGCCTTCACAAATCCCCCATAGGAAATGGCGAGGCAACCGCAGATCCCCCGGACAATGCGAGAAATGGAACGAGCAGCTAAGGAGGTCCTTTTGCCTCTGATTCACGCAGAGTTCCCCGAAATTGCACCCGATGCTTGCAATAGCCACCTACCATGATTCCACAGGGGAGGGGCGGGGACAGAAGTCAATAACCCGTTAGGTCCCCGAAATTGCACCCGAAATGCACCCGATGCTTGCAATACAAGTTACCCACCATGATTCCACAGGGGGCCGGGACAGAAGTCAACAACCCGTTGGGTTTTCCGGAAATGTACCCGATGCTTGCAACAGAAATCACCTACCACGATTCCACCCGGGGGGGGGGGGGGGGGGGGGGGGAGGGGGAGGGGGGGGGGCCCGGGGACATGTTTTTTTTACCACTAGACACTGGACCATTTTTACATATGTATATATACAAAGTATATGATGTAATGCAAATAGTAAAACATAATATTTGACAATATATTATATGTTTTCTGGGGGGTAAAAGGCTTTTAAAACAAAGGCCGTTACATGAACATCCTTTGTTTGACTAGCTGGGGGATGAGGGCCTGGGTGGAATTCCAACTGTACATCGTCAGCAACAAGCCTTTTCCACACCAAGCAAGACTTGCGAAGGCCTCAACGTTAAAACAGCACATTTCTGCATCATCAATGGAACAATCATGGTCTTCCCGAAACATCCATTCAGCAAGACCTTTTCAAACCCAGCAGAAAACAACGCCAGCCAGGACGAATGCGAGTGGTTTTTCGCCTGCCAAATTTCACGGCGTTTCACGGTCTTTCACTGCAAAAAAAGCGTTCACGCCAATTTCACGGTATTTTCACGCTTTTCCCTTGTCGATGTCCCATTGCTAAGCCCATGATCAATGTCTCTAGAAATCCCACAAAGTTGAAGACCTTGAGCATTGACCAGCTTCAACATGTCTACATGGTTTTCGCGAGGCCTGGAAAGCGTACTTTTCAGCCACAAGCACTGCAAAGCCATGTGGCTACTAATGCGGCCAACACAAATCTGTCAACCCAATTAAAGGCGTCCAGCTTGCAAACAAAGGACGTTCCCCCACATTTCACGGCCGCTTCCTAAAGGCCTTTCTTTTTAAGGCCCCCGAACCCCAGGGTGTCAGCAATAAATTACCATAATATAACTTACTATCGTATAATATAGCGTACCATGATATAACATAATGTGACTAAACATCATACAATCCAATAGAATAACCAAATTACATTGTATGATATTAATAAGCCATGTTCTATTAGACTAATGGTTACTATATGATATAAAACATGGTATATTAGACTACCACCTTGTTGTTGAAAACATATAAATCACACACACACACACACACACACACACACACACACACACACACACACACACACACACACACACGCGCGCGCGCGCCCACACACACAGTTTGGCTTGGCTAGTGCATGGTGGAAGACTTTCGCCGTTGCGGTTGGCCGTGCGCCTGTGGGCATGTCTTGGCCACTTGTGTGGAGTTGAGACGCACAACAATGCGTGTGGAGGGCACCCGGAAAAATGAGCCAAGATAAGCCAATATATTCAAAAACATGCAGGAAATACAGGCGGCCCTCCTCAAAGATCAGCTCCTTCTTCATCTGTTGGAACGGAATTTAGGTGTGTCGAAACTTGGGAACCTCATCCAAGGATTTGGTGCCATGTTAAGGCCAACCCTGGCCAAAAGTCAATAGGCGTCCAGCAACCTAAGGCCCTTTTTGGGCCCTTTTCAGCGGATTCCACGCATGGCTCTTCACAGCCGACTGAAGCTCTTCGCCGAACGCGGCACTCTGAGGTTTGTGCAGGTCTCTACGCGTGACTTTGGAGCCGACATGAAGTGGCTCAACCTCAGGCGGCGGACTGCCAATTGTTCTTTGTCCTAAAACAGGGGAACCCACCCGAAAGGCGGGGTTCCTGAAGTGTCCATACTAAACAGCCCCGAAAACATGCCCGAAAAAGGCTACCCTCCAAGACCCAATATTGAACTGCGTGGTTGGTTGCTTGGTGCAGCTGCAGCATTTCAAGATCCATTTCTCAAGAACTTGTTGGATGCTATTGGCGTGCCGCACGAAAGGCAGCGCTGCATGCTGTAGATCATATGATGACAATGGCTCTCGCATGGCTGATATTTATTTGGATTGCGAAATACCCAAGGAGCCCCTTTTGCAGCTGCTCCTCAAAATTGAGGAATGCGTAATTTTACTGTTCTATGTCCAATATCACTCCGCACCAAGGCTCTCAATGCTTGGCGAACTGTTCCGATTGCTCGATCAATCAGAGCGGGTTGTAGCTGCGGAAGTTTCAGCAACACTGCTCCCTTCCCTTGCCGCAAAACAAATTCATACATTCAATAACATCGCCAGCAATCATGGTTAGGTAAAGGGGCGGGGCCATAAGCAACATCCAAGGTCGCAATTCTCACCTATCCAAACGACCCAGACATTAAGCGCACAACCTTGCAGGCCATGAAAATCCAAACGAAACAAATGCTAGGCAGTGATTCCATGATCCCGGCGGGAAAATGTGTGGTCTGCACTGGGCCCACCCGGCGCGGTCGCCTGCACCAGCGCCGAATCCTGAGGGTGCAGTTGACTAGGATGGTCAGGGTTTTACCATGCCCTCTTTGCACGCCATCAAGCATCGCTTTTCGGGGAGTCATAGATTTCGAGAAGAAGGTAGCTTGCCGAATCCCGAGGGAACATTTTGGCATAGGTGAGAAAGAAAACCGCTTTGAGGGGGCAACCATACCCTGCTTGAACGTTGGAATATGGGCCATGCCATGCGAATAAGGAAACACTTTTCGGATCCCCTCAGGCAGCATGTGGTTTTCAGGCTTCCAAACACTTTGTTTGGCAACCTGCAAACTGCACGTGCTGTCGTACACAAAACCAAAATGGACAGTACTCGTTCAAGACGAAAAACATCAAAAGATATAGCATAATTTTTCAGGGGAACCGGTAAGGGTACAAGCAAAAACCTATTGATTCAAGTTCAGTGCCCCTTTGAAAACATATTTACATGACACGTGATCGGCTGCAAAGCCGGAAATGCAGCCGTCCACCTATACATGGAAAGGTGGCAAGACTGTTGAATGTCTTTGGGATTGGTATTCAAAGGCAACAAGTCTGAAACCGGCATATGCTTTTTGGATAGGTCGTTGCCTAGTTTTGGTTTATCACTTGTCACACTTATATGGTGATCCGCCATGAATGGCTCCCTTGAAGTATGGAGCAATATGGTCTTACTGAGCCCTCTGTACATGTCTGTACATGTAGGCTTGCCACATGTTTATTGTGGTTGGCGGGGATGAGTGTATTTGTGAGAGCGGGACTCTGTTGGTCTCATGATTGGCACACACTCACACACACACACACACACACTAAACACAAACACACCCGCACAAACCCACAAAAAGGTGAAGTATGTACAAAAACTCCAATGCGCCAACAACAGCAAGCAACGTCACACACACACACACACACATTCACGCACTTTCGCCCATTCACACACTGTCGCCCACACGCACACATACACACACACACCTCGGCAAAAACAACGGGTGCGGATTTTGTTTTGTTTTCCGGGCCAGTAAAATGTTGTATTTTACAGCATTTTCTCGCGAAATTGACGCATTCTATACTAGCCCGTCAACATCCCCAGCATCGTTTTCAACATCCCCGCATGTCCGACCAACATCCCTAGCATCACCAACAAATCGTGGGTAACAAAATCCCAAAAGTAGCTGGCGGGTTGACGGGGTAAAAAAACCTAATGATTCAAACAGGAGGGCATTTCAATCAAAAGAGAGCAGGGGGGTTGGGGGGGGCGGCAGGCCCCCCCATGATGGTCGCAGAAGTGATGATTCGAATAGGGGTGCAATAAAATATCTGCAAAAAGTCAAAGAACTAGCGGGGGGGGGTTGGGCGGGGCGGCAGCCCCCCCGTGACGTTCGAGGAATTGATGATTCAACTAGGGGTGCAATTAAATCTCTTGAGAAAATCTAAAACGTAGCGGGGGGGTTGGGGGGCTTCCGCCCCCCCCATGATGTCGGAAGAAGTGATGAGGTGCAATGATTCAAGAAAGGGTGCGATAGAATTTAAAAGGCAGCGGGAGGGTTGGCGGGGGTGGCTTCCCCTATGATGTTCGAAGAAATGCATACATACAGACATTGGACGCTCGAAAAAGTGATGATTCAAACAGGGGTGCTATTCAATCTCTGCAAGAAATCTAAAAAGTAACGGGGGGGAGGCGGCAACCCCCCCCATGATGGTTGAAGAAGACTTGATTCAAATAGGGGTGCAATTACTCTGCAAACAATCTAAACAGTAGCGGGTGGGTTGGGGGGGGGGTTCCCCCGCCATGATGTCAAATAAGGTGGTGGTGATGCTGATGATGCGGGAAGCCAAATCCAAAAACCAATAATAAACCAGCGAAAAGCCGCAAAAGCCAAAACGCCACCTGCCGAAGAGGAACTAAGAATGCAGAGGATGCGAAAAGCCAAAAAGCCACCAAAAGCCGCATAAAAGAGCAAAAAGCCGAAACGCCCAGAAGCCCAGAAGCCGAGAAGCTGAGAAGCCGAAAAGCCAAGAAGCCGAAAAACCAAGAAGCCAAGAAGCCAAGAAGCCAAAAGCGGGGAAAAAAAACTAAAAAAAAAAACCTAAAATGAATACCCCTCCAAAAACAAATAACACCCACCACCTGCCCAACAAACTCCTGCGTGCGGATGATGCCGCGGCTCCGAAGAGCGAGCGCCGCCTCAGCCTGCGCAAATTGAGAGGCGGGCTCTCGCAGAAGTGGGCGAGCATTTCCAGGTACCCTTCGAGGCTGATGTTTGGGGGATGCGAAAGGGTTGAAGTGCCTCCCTTTTTGGGGCTGGATCAAAGGGAAGCCAAAGACAACGCACTGAAGAAGCAAATTTCGAAGGTGGAGACCTGGAAGCTTCGATTTCAACCCCACGTGCCAATTGTCCCAACCAGGGACTAAATCATTTTGACAACACCGTGGTCCCTTCGAAAGAACTGGCCTTCGCGTCGGCGCTCTCCTCGTCGCCTTGGCTTCAAAAAAATCAATCAGTTTGCGGTCGAGCAAATGCAGTCGAGGGGACCCCAACCACTTGCTTTGGTTTTCTGTTTCAGGTTCTCCCAGTACGTACAAGCTGTGCTTTCGGGTGGCACAGCCACAAGCAAAGGGCCCGTGCATGGCTTTTGGCTTCAGATCTACCCATCATGCAAGGAGGATCGGCGACCTCTGTTTCCGATTGGGAATATTATAATATCCCCTAACCACCACCGACCCGAACCGGGTTGGACGTTGCCCGCCTGCGGTGTTTTGCCTTGAAGCATTTGAGATATGACATGAGTCCTCTCAAGAAGCAAAGAGCCTTGGACCAAAAAAGAGACGACGGGAATTCTCTCAAAACGAGGATACAAGCCAAAGACTGGGCCGAACCCGTGCCAAGGCGCTGGTGGTTGTCTCCGGCGAATCTCCCCTGGCCCGGTAGACGCAAGCTGCCTGACCGCGACGGCGAGGCAAAAACATCCATCCGATCAATTCCCGCAGAGTGCTTTGAATAGCGGGAACTCCTCCCCAAAAACAACGAGCAAATGGGAGGTTCAATCAGGGGTCAACAGTAGACATTCGAGGGAACCCCACACAACGCAAGGGATTTGACCTTCAAGCAACCCCCTACCCCTGCGTGGGTCATTTTCATCTCTGTGTCCCTAGTGCTTTCGGGCTGTGTAGCTCAGTTCTTTCGATCAATTTGTCATATGCCACGTCTGCCACGTCTGCAAACGCCCCTAAGCTAAAAGAGAAATGATGTTCAAGACTCTTGAGGGTCATGAGGCCTCAAGGAATGTCTAGCCCCCAAGTTCCAGGACCCCATTGCATCCCTGCTAGCCCAAAGTAAGCAAGTCTGTTGACCAGGACTGTGAATCCTTCAAAATGGAGATCCCAATCCAAAAGGAAAAACCGGCAAATCAGAAAAAGACATGGTGATGACTTGCAATAACGATGCTTATTATCCCAAGCAACTATAGCCGCTCGTTGGCTGGGTCAAAACAGAAAACACACTCAACAAAACAAGAGAACCAATGCCACTAGACAACGTGTCTCACTGCATCCGACCTTTCTGTGACGGAGCTCAGTAGGATGTAAATGCTCGCTTGCGGCTAGTGAATTGGGAAACACAACTGTCATGTAAGGTTCAAGTCGCAGTATTCACGACATTCACCAAAAAAGCGACCATGACATTGTTCAACTGACACAATTGTGAAAGGATGAAAAGGTTTCTTCAGTCATTGGCGAAGACTGCATGAATTTGTCTCAACATCTGAAACAAGTAGAAATATGGGGGAATCCTCAAACTGACCCGGTTGCCAATCCGCAACTCCCCAAACGAATCCAAACCACCGATATGACAATTTCACGCCGGCGCGCGCACGCATCCAGCCCGCCACTTCCAAGTCTCTGCCTTCTGCTCCTCTCGCTCCTCCTCGCTTTGGGAGCAATCCTCCTCGAACTCGGCCATGACCTCATGCGAGTTGCTGGAAACAAACGCAAATGTCACCTGGTGCTGACAGTCCCATCCGTTCATGACACGGATGGACACACAAACCTACGCAGTCATGCTGAAGATTGCCGTCTGACCACCTGTTTCCGTTTTGCGGCATATCTGGGGCTTATAAACAGGGCTGCTACATTTTGAGGAATGCGGCTCAGTGCCCAAAGGAGACGTCAGGCAAATCGAGCTCACGCAAATTTCATTCCAAGGCACATCACCAGCCTCACCGAAGACAATGTCAGAGGGCCTCGCTGCGCAAGTGCTTCTGCTTGCGAGTGGGGAAGCTGTCGTTTGTCCACAAAATTACTTATATATTCTTAGGATGATCACCACACAAAATGTACCATCACGACCCTCCCTTTTGATTGGAACAACACCTGGAAGCAAAAAAAGGTTCAGCGGGAACATAGCGAATGAACCAAGGGCAGGGCCGCGCTCCAAACGGTCGGCTTATAGGCCCCATCGAGGGTAGAAAACAGGGTGATGTGTACCGCATAACGTCCCAACCAAGGGCCGGACCAATTCTCACTTCCTGAAATGGATTGGCAAAGAAAAACAAACTGTCTGTTTGCCGCTAGAATGGTCTTCCCAAAGAGTTGAAGTCCAGAAACTGAGGGAGTGAGCATTTGTCCACATATGACCATCATGTGCATGTGCATGCTGCTTTCCGAGTCGTCTCCCAAGTGTGGGTCTTGCCTGAGGCTAATTTGGAGATACACGTGCGTGTGCTATTGCTTTGTTCAATCCGACCATGTGCGGTTGATCCATGGTCAACCCATGAAGCACATCATTTTGAGCAAAAACACATCACCGGCATAATTATTGCGGATCTGCATGTGTGTGTGTGTGTGTGTTTCGTGCAAGGTTACTTTGCAATCCCAACTAATGAATGGCACCTGCAATTGCCATAGCATTGCACCCAAACGCCGCCCCAAAGATGGCGAGCAACGAGCAAATGGGTTTACTCATCAGGTACTGCGGAGCTTCGGGATGCGGCTACCGCGCCTATTGTCCTCGTCAAAGTCATCGCTATCGAAACACAGTGACTCATCTGACCTGGAGCAGGTGGAGCTCGAGTTGCTGATTTAACCACCTCGCCCTTGGCCGAAATTTGGTCGATCCAGACAATGGGCCACTGGGAGTTTCCCAACAGCGAATGGAAAAGCAAGGCTATCTATCCGACTATCCCCCCTGTGCATATATCCCCCCAAAAGAAGACACTGGCAACCAACAAGACTAATGTAGCTCAAAATGGACATGTCGCACCTGCCAGCGACACCGGACAAAAACCACGCGATCTTCGCGATGGACTACAGTAGTTGACCAATCCCCGCCCATCCAAAAGGAGACTGGGACAAAGGTTTGTTTGGTTTGGAGCACTTGGGGTCGGACCATTCCCTACGACAGGGTCCTCAGAGAACACAAAAAACCACTTGCAGACGTTCACTTGGAGCTTGGCTCGTGTTATTCTGGCCCATCCAAAAGTGGATTCTGAGAAGCCTATATAAACCCTAGCAGCTTCAAAATGGGCCGTCATCCAGGTCCGAGCGGCTCGTCCATCTGCGGCACTTGCCGCTGCTGCAGCCATGAAAGGATCACCCCCTGAGCTTCTGGCGAGCCGCCAAACTTCGTGGGCAAGACTTTCCATGGGGCCATGCGCGTCAACCGTGACACTTTCACTTCTGCCCATGGCTGAAAGTGAAGCACACCCAACTTCGGTGAGTCCGTTGCCCACCTCACAGGGTGTTTGAAATCAGGGCTCACATCAACAGATTGGGGTGGAAGATAAGCACCCCTCCGTTCGCATCTTGGCATGTGAGCGAATTCGTTCCAGACAGGTGTTGCAGGTTCTTGGGAATTTTAGGACCAAAGCTCATTGTCCAAAGAAAGTTCTTCAAGCCCTGAGCGCCAAGATCTCCACTGGGCCTCATGAGTTGCGCCCCTTTTTGGCCACTATATCCCGATACGTCGGGATCCTTTCGGGGAGATCCTGCCCCATGGTATCGCAGATGGCGGGACCATCAAACCTCAACCAGTTCAAAACAGGCATCGATCCTTGCAAACTGTGACATCAATCATTCTGTCGGATGCTTAGATGACATATCATTATATCTGTTCTTAAGAAAGGGGATGCGTTTCCGGTTGGACCCTTTGCAGTCTTATCTTGATGAAAAAGAAAATAAAGGGAATAGGTGGTCCCTTAGTCAATCCATAGTGGATCCTTTGTGCATGCATACCTGGCTCAGTCCCAAACAACAAAGCCGCATCTGTAGGAGAAGACAGTGCAAATTGAGAGCGTGTATTGCATGACACAGCGGGTGGGTAGGCAAGCGCTACCAGGTCCAACCCTCAAAAGAGCCCTGTCCCTGGAATTGAGGGTTGGAGCAATCTCAATGTGTGGGGACCACCAATATCCACCAATAAAACACTCCTGAACATCCAAAACACCTAACAAGCTATCTAGCCACTCATTCCAAAAAAATAGTGTTACACCAACCAAACCCTGCCCAACCAACCCCAGGAACGACTCGCGGCCCCTTGTTCTCCCCGCAAGAAAAGAAACAAAAAAACGGCGGGCTGGTTCCGCCTTAGCATCCTGCAGTTGCCGGAAGACCCGTGTGGCGCGTACCTACAGGCCAGATTTTTATTCGGCTTGTGAATTTGGGAACCAGAACGTCCCATGGCTTCGCTTGCGGACTTTTCCTTGGTACAAACCATTGGCAATCTAAGCCCACTTCGCATGTCCAACGGGCCAACAATGCTTCGCCGTCTAACAGAGCGACCGACAACCTCGACGGAGCCCTCAAAAAGCACAAGAGATGCTCTGAGAACTGGAAACACTAGAAGATCGCTTCAGGACTGGGCCAACGACCTGTTCAAACACGTTTGAGCATATTGAACATATCGCATGTTGGGTTACCTTTGAAGGGGACGGCGGTTTGGTTGTTTCAACAACTTGTCAGGACCCTCCAGGTGCCTTGTAAAGTTCCACTTGGGCGATGTCATAACATGAGCTGCCTTTCAAGCAGTACACTCACCAGTCTCTAGGGGTGCTTCTCTTGAGAACTTGCCGGTTTTCCTTGTTTAACAAATAGAGGCATCTAAGGGGCTTTGCAGGCTGTGAAACTACCGAATCCCATCGTCTGATACATCCATCTGGGCTTGCCAGGCTTGCCACCTGCTTCGACACGATGACCCGTTTCAAAGGGAAGGCCCATGCTCCAATTGCCAGCCATTTTGCCTAGTCCCGATCCAGAAGCAGACCAATTGTCTCATTTGTCTGAAACCATGATATTGCTACAGTGCTGGTCGCCTCGCGACTACCCATGTTCCGTATCGGAATCCGGGCCTGGGTGTTGCCCAAAAATACGGGACCCCAAAAAATTGGTGTTCCTCCTGTGGGTTTGCCTTTAGAAACCAACTCAGAGGGGGTTCACCACGATCAGGCACTGCATCCTTGCGGCCCGTGCCGCCCTGACCTGTGGTCATCCACCAGCCCACCAACCGCCCAACCAGCCCCACAGCTTTTCAAGCATGCACCTTCAATCAAAGCCGATTTGGGCGAAAGTCAAGCAGGCGCACTCTTTGGTCAGGCAGCGCCTACCGTGGCGTTGGCTCATCGAACCCCATGCAAAAGCTGTTTTGTTCGTTTGCTAGCTGTGAGACCTCATTTAATGACATCGGGCGTCCAATAGGTAACTTCTCTCATAAGAAGTCCCTCAGATCCTTCCTCTGGCTCTTCAGCAAAGCCCCGCCCTTTGAACATCCTTGAGCTTGCTCTTCAGGGCTCCGTGGCCTGCAAACTCACATGGAATCCAAGGGTTGCCCAGCAAGGAGATGCTTCTGCAAATGAAGGTTGGGTTCTACGTGAATCTGCAGGGGGCTGTAAACAAACTTTGTCCCTCGTGGGCGGAGAATACGTGCCTGAACATTCCACACCTTTGCTGGGTGCCCAAAGCTGGGTCCATTCAAGTGGCACTCTCTTCAAAGGGCACTTGCCTTTTGCCTCAATTTGGGCGCGGCCTTCTTGCAGGTGCAGACTCCAACTCTGGAAGCCAAATTGCCATAAAGAAGGGCACTGACACATGTTCCCCCCCCACAAATAGGAACGCCCTCAACATGGCGTGCTTTCTGTGGTTTCTTTACACCAAAAAAAGTACCCTCAAAGAAGCACACCCACATAGACCTCAAGTTCCACCATGAACCCAATCATAGCGAGGTTATCATCCACCGTACCTCCCCCAGCCCAATGAACCTATGATGAAACTACTGGAACCCAGAATCAAACCTTAGTATCACCCTTACGTACTATTCTAGGGGTTGATTCCCCATTCTTTTCAACCATGGTTCTTTTCAAAAACCAGCCGTTTTCCCTGCGATTCCGGAGGCTTTCTAGAAAGAAGGATCCCTGGAAAGAATGGAAGGTACCCCTAGAACTATAATAGAACATACCCGATGAACCACGTGGAACCCTCCACTGCTCCGAGGCTCGGCCTTGTCCGGGTGCCACTTCCTCGCTAAGGCGCGGCTCTTCCGGTGCACCTCCGCCCGCGAGGCCCGCAGCGGCAGGTCCAGCCTCGGGTGGCGGAGTGGGCCGTGTAACCCCCGTGGCAACGGGGAGGATCGAAGCGAAAACAAGGGGGTCCCCCAAAACGCAGGCCACACAAGAAAGCCGGTCAAAACCCGGACGAGTAGCCTTTTTTACTTTGATCCTGTCGGCAAACGGTGACCTCCAGCGTTCCCAGACGCATGTCCGCGTTGGATTTCAAGGAAAACGGCTGCTCCAAGCAGGAAGTTGGGGTCCTGGGAAAGCCCAAGGAAGCCGTTGGCCCATGTTCCACCCCGGTCTGATGAGTTTCTTTGGGGAACGGCTCGGAGCAGCCAGATTGTCTTTGCAATGAAGCACCAAACATGCATCCACCAAGTTCTTAGGAGTCCAACATCTATGGTCTGGCCGCCCAACCTCGGCTCAAGTCGAACTCCGACGGCCAGATCCCATGTAGAGGACCAGTGCTGAGGCGCTAGCACTCGATATGCTTCTGCAACCTCAGCTTTTTGGTTCGGCACCCGCCATGTTCTCTTGAGTACTTTGTCACTTGTAATTCATTGCAATCCGTGAGCAAAACAACAAAACGGCTGAACAAACTCAGCCTAAATGATACATGCTGATAACTTGCTGCCAGCGGGGGGACGTGTCGAGTTCCAAAAGGACGGGTCAGATCAATGAGCAGCGCATGGCCTTTGCCACACGGAAAGCCAGGTGTGTAAGCCCTTGTTCCCCACTTGCGACAGCCAGAATCCCAAAAAACGCGGGGTCCGAACAAAATAAATAGAGAAACGACATCCTTAGTGGAAGCGAGTGGCAGTTGATACAAACTCCCGTTGCCATTTGGGATCTGCTCGTTCCGGTGTCATTTTCTGATGCCGTTCGGGAACCTCCTTCATGCTTGGCAGAATCGAGGGAACTCTCACCATGTGGCTGGATGCTATGCAAAACTAGGAGCCTGTCTTGGAACTGTTGCAACCCGGGCCCTTGCGTGGATTTGGTACGACCGACCAAGCACTTACAGCGAACAACCACATTTCGGGCGATAAATCATGGGCAGGTCCCCCCCCAGCCAAGACCCTCCCACCCCGGCGGTGTCCGGCTGCAAGAATTGACTACCAGGAGATTTTCGTCTCTTGATCAGAGCCACAGTCATTCATTGTGCCTTGAATGACCGTGGCTCCCGACATGGGAATTTGATGAGTACGTAACTAGGTCCTCCAGTAGAGCGGTTAGAATAAAGGGTACCCTTTTTCTGTAGTCCATTTTAGCTGGGGAACCCTCTCAACCAAAAAAGGGGTGAGAAAGGGCACCTAGCTGGGAGCCACCAAGGTAATCTCTATCTTTACAGTACTGGGCCTCCCGCCTGCTGCGGCGGCGGAGGGCCATCGTCTTCTCTCTCCGCCCGAACCAAGGCCTGGACATGACTACTTCCCTCTCACTCAGTCGTGCAAAAGGACCCAGAAAAAAAAAAGGTTAACTTTCTGGGCTGCCCTCAGATCCCCCGCCAAAAGTATAACTTTTGGTGGGTGACTAAAACTAGACCAACCCGTGGAAACCAAAAGGTCAAAAGGTCATGTGACAGGCATCCTCATCAAAATTTCACCGGCCATGTGACAGGCATTCGGTACTCCTTTTCCTCCCGAACGCCCCCTTTCCAGCCTGGGCTCCAGCATTCAACCTCGATTCGGGCATTCACATCGCAGCCGTCAGCTGATAGCCATCTGCTGTCTTACACCGTGGATACAGCTCGGCGTGTCTCTAAACGCTGTAACCCCTGAGTTGGGTGGGTTCCTTGTGCATGCCCCTTCAAAACAACCCTCGTATGTCTCAAAAAGACACTAAAGTCTTGACTCAGTCTGAAAATGAAAGCTGGCTCCGGCAGTCTCCCTTGGCTGCCTGGTGGGTTCCATGCTTGTGGGAAGGGAAAGCATCCTCCATTGGCTCAGACATAGCGACAGCTCTGTTAGGCAAAACACAAGTGTCGTCCCAGGGAATCTGGGGGCTAAACAGGTAGTCTAAAAAACCAATATCACATTGGCCAACTTCCTTTTTGGTTTCTCTGATCCACACTCGGGCCTTGGTTCTGTCTTGCACAGTATTGTGTGATAACATGATGATGAGTGTCTCAGGACATGTCTTGAAAAGTTCCACAAATGATGTGGAACAAAGAACTCTGACGATGTGACGAAGTGAGAAATGATGAATCAGGCAGTAATATGAACAGTACTTGGGTACTGATTTCGATAAAGAATACTTCAAAAGCGTGATGTCCGGTAGGTCCAGTAATCATGACATGATGATCACCTCATGGCTTTTCGGGTAGCATGCCTTCAAAGCTGGGACCAAACAACCGGCATCCAAAATGAATCGCCTAAGTACGCCTGAAACATGTTGATCTGACTGATTTTTCCACAACATGCCGATTGAGCCTCACCAACTAAATTGAACCAGAAAAAATGGAATCCCGCTCATCAAATTCCTCGACACAATGAAGGTTAAACCTCACACACTATCTATAATCATGCTTCAATGTCCCCAAGCCTCTGTCTCCCTGCCAAGCGGCCGCTGCCGCTTGCTGTGGCCATGGCTGGCTTTAGGCGGACCTCGACGGTGGCGCGCGGGTGGCTGGCCCTTGCGCGTTGAAGCCTTTGAGCTCGTCACTCTCTTGAACGTGCCGTTGGTTTTGATGTGATGGCATCCACTTGTTGGCTTGGAACGGAGAGTTCTGGGCAATCTGGCACTCAGTGACATGATGCAAACACCTCCTGACAAATAGCAACTGGTGGATTGACTGGGACTGGGATCTGTCGGTTGGGTTAGCACATTTGACATCTGCTGACTGCAACGACAACCACGACATTCGTCTGGCTATTCTGGCTGTCAAACACTGGGCTCCTGGTATTTCGCAGCATATTATCATGTACTTTGAGTTTCACTTGCTTGAAAATCCTGATCCCCTCCAAACAAAAGCAGGGAACTAGTCCTGCCAGTTCTGCTGATTGGGTTGGTCACACTGACCTTCTACAAAAGTAAATCACTTGCTTAGTGGACATAGTTCCAACAGAACGGGTGAGTTTGGTCACGCCTTCGCCGCGCGGGTTCGGATTGGATCCAAAACGCCAAAACGAAAGGCAACGTTTCAACCCGAAACGCGCTTGGCGATTCCTTGCGGCGAGTGGTTCTGGGAAACGCAAACGCGTTCCCAGGCAGAGAGAGTGACTCAGTGGGTGATAAATTGGTGACAACTGAATCAATTTGGGTGATAAACTCATTTGGAGAATTCAATTGGGTTCAATTTGGGTGAATGGGTTATAATCAACGCGAAATGGGTTCGTTCGTTCAATTTGGGTGAGTGAAAAGAGCGAGTGACTCAGCGTCCCGTCCGGTCCTCGGGCTCGGGCTATGTACAACTCGGGCGGTGTGACTCGATGGCAGCTCCTGCTTTGCCTGGCGCTCGGCTTGGCTGCGAACTTGTTGGATCTAAGAAGACTAAAGGAAATGATTCTTCGTGTTTGCCGTGGCAAGGTCATGGTTCGCTGTGAAATAACAATGCTTGTCATGGTCCGCCCGAAATACTCATGAGTGGAACATGCATCATGAGATACATAGGCCCTTCATGGCCCTTCACTTGCAATCTAGAAAGGCTTCCCGGAAAGCAGCGAGCTGACACGGCTGGCGCGACATGGTACAGCAGCAAGATCCATAGTGTATCAAAGCTGTGCCCGCCAGCTTCCCGTGGAAGGGGAAAACGGGGAGCCCTTCGTTCGGTGGATAAAATTTAAGAAAAAGCCTCCCCAGGCCGGGGGAGAGGGTACAACAAGCTCTGCATCCCGCACACGATCCCGCAACTTGGAAGTCCTTGGCATCCTTTTCAGCACTCACACCTGGGATGCGAGCAGGAAAATGCAAGGCATCACGATAGATCTTGAGAGGATTGGTGCCTAGTATCTCTCAGTGATTCATCGGAAGCTATCGGGTTATGGCACCATCCTGCCCCACAGTGGTTGGCTTCAGGCTTTGGCATTCTCGATGAATGTTGTGTGCATAGGCACCGACCAATCACGAAACATATCCAAGTCCCCTACGTCATCCCAGATAGGGGCATCGTGCCGTCTACCAACTCACCCGGGTGTCGGGTGGCCCTCAAAAAGATCCGATCACGTGTTTGTGTATGCCGTATCCTGGGGAGGGGTAAGATTAAATGTTAACTGTTAGACTGCTTGGCAGCGGTGTCTTGCAGATACGGTCAAGTTAGGTTGCCTTGGACTGCTTGAGGCATCTAGTTGTGCAACGGGCATTTGACCACGCCAATGTCAGACTTGCAGCGTGAACATAGATGGCACCTTGCCAGCAGTAAAATATCTGGGTGCTGTGCTCCGCTCCGCTTATTGGCATCTCCCTGATCAGAATCAGACTTTGGTCTCTATGCAACGATCACAAAAGATATATACAGCTTTCTCACACGCGAAAGCTGGCAGAAAGCATCCGAAAGCAATAAGCTCCTAGAGACCGGAGACGCTGGGCCCCGAACTGCCGGCAGCCCCCTCAGAGTCATCAGCTGGAAAGCCTGTCCCATCGTTCCCGCATTGAAAACCGGAAGACTCCCCTTTTACGCAGGGAAGCAAGTTGATCAAACTCCTGCCAATGGATCCTTGAAAAGTTCATTGAGCTCAACTACACTCAAATTGTTAGAATGCCTAATTAGGGACCGCTGACCTCTGGCACACGTCCGAGAGACTCCATTCCAAACAATTCTGGGGGCACGGGTGCCTGCAAGGAAGCTTTAGGGCAAACTGTCCCCAACTTTTGGCTTTCAGTGCAAATACCAAGGCGCGCTCGCACACGTGCGCGCGTGCGTGGGTGTTTGCCTGTGTGTGTGTGTGCGTCTGTGTCTGCGTCTGTGTGTGTACGTGTGTCTGTGTGTGTGTGTGTGTCTCTGTGGGTGTGTGTCTCTGTGTGTGTGTGTGTGTGTGTGTCTGTGTATATGCATGTTGGTCTGTGTCTCCTGTGTGGCGCTTGCCTGCCTGCCTGCACTCTTGGTTGCTTGCTTGTTTGCTTGCTCCCTCGCTCGCTGGTTGGTGTTTGTTTATTATGTGTATGTGTACAGACTTGGACTCTCGACCGAGTGGCTTCCAGGCTCCAAACTCCTGGTTTGTAAAGTGTCCGAAACCAAAACCACAAGGAATCTGTTGTGTTATGACTCCCAGAACGATCCAACTCACACAACATCAACAAGATCTAACAAGGCCGAAGAACAAAGCCAACGGCTTAACAGTTCTGTCCTGTTCTTTGTTCGACAGCACCATTTCGGCTTCTCCTCGAGGTCTACGGTTTGTTCAGGAAATAGGCCCATCTGCCCCGTCGCGCAATTTCTTTTGCCCGCTGCCGCACGAAGCTTGCCCAAGGCCCAGCTGTCCGGGTTGGGCCAACTCTATGTGACGTGGCCAACCCGGCTTCAGAGCTCCTAGCAGAAGATTCATCGGCTGTCGACACTGCCGCCCTGCCGGTTGACTTTGCCGTAAGGCTACGTGCGAGGCAATCTTGCGATGCGTAGACATACTTTGCAAGACTCCTACTCATCCGGGGCAGGTCAGGTTCTCAATCCCATGCCGTCGACATGTCCCGGCTGTGGTTTTGCGATGCATCAAAATGTCCTCCTCGAAGCAAGGCATTCCACGCTAGAGGACGCTAAGAGTTCCATGCTGGCTCTCCTGATCGCGAAAGCTCTTCTGGGAGTCTTCCCATTTCCAGCACATGAAGATCTCTTTGAGCTCCAATCAGAAGGCCCGGCCGGGTGTCTGAGCCCAAGGTTGGACTTGGATTCTGCCTTAGGGTCCAGGGAAACTCCAGAAGCGATGCCGTCAAATCCATCTATGGCCGTCTTCTACAGGAAGTGAACTCCTATTGACATTTGGATTCCTTTGGGTGTCCCCTTAATCAACGTCCAAAGTGGGTGCACCGACAACCCCAAACTGGGATCCCAAAACGGTTTGGACCCACACCCCACCTGGCCGCGATGTCAGCCCCCCGGAGGTTCTGCCGCCTCAACAGCCATGGGACCCTTTGGGATGCTGCCGCAGCTTGTGCTCCGCCAGACTTGGGTGCCACCACCTGGCAAGCCAAAGGGAAGCCAAGGGAAGCAGCGAAGCATTTGGATGGATCTAAGGGTTTTGGTATTGCACCCTGGGAATACACCCACTATTGACCCCAAATAAAGCAGAATGGATGCGCCTTTTGGCCAACTGGAGAAGGCTATGAGATTTGCCTACCCCTTGGTCAGCATCTAGGTGGGGATTGATGTCGACCTCCCAATTGTGAGGAGGTTCCCTATTGAACTTCATAGCCATATCACAACAGAGTACTTAAAGAGTACCAAAAAAAACAACAGGGAGACGGATTGGTGCACATTTTGCAAAAACGGCTGCCAATACGGCGTGTCTCTGTGTTGAGGGTACTGTTTGGGGGTTGATTTGAAGGGAAGCCAAAAGGAAAACAATCTATTCTGAGACAAACCCAGAAAAAAAGAAGAAAAAAACGTCTGCAGAAGGAAACCTCTCAGGAAGTACTTGACGAACTGACTGTGGTTGATTCCCTTGAAAGCAACTCTGGGAGATCGAAGGCGAAGCTCAGAGCGGATCGGTTCATGTTGGATCCCACCTCCAGAAATAGGGTTGGGTTTTTGTTGGTGCACTCCTCCCACTTCACTTTTGAGACGGTGGGGATATGGCCATGGGTCAAAATCCAAATCCCCCCAGTGAACATCCCAATCCCCACTAGAATAGGTTCTAACATGAGTGGTGACTTCACCTACCAACCCAAAATGGGATCCCAACACGGTTCTGACCGCCACAGCCATATTACTTCGCTTTTCGCAGGTGTGAACCTCCAGCCCCACTTTCGCCCGCCTGTCTCGGATGAAGTACTCATCCACCTGAGACCATCCCCGGTACCAAACGACGGGGGGATTGGGCGGTGCGGGGGGTAGCCAATTCCATGTCCGGGTGGGGGATGTTTCATGGCCAAATTAAGATCCTGGTGGGTTCAGCATGAAAGACTTCCCTAGCAAAGGGAACCATTTCTCGCTCGATCATGGGCTCCCTTCAACAACTACTAAAAAACGGGGGTCACTGAGGAACACGCCGACTCCCTCGATGTTTGTCAATCAAGACCGGTTCCACTCAAATCAGGGAAAATAATAGCCTAGATACGAGCTCTCTTACAATGAAGAGCCCCCCATGTTGGATGACGTTTCAGAGAAAACAACAAAGAAAGGACACAAGTCTTGGGTGTGCCTTGCCCATTTCTGGCAACATCAACAGCAGAGGCCCATAAACGCGGGAGCCTATCATGAGCCCAACAGCACATTGAACGAATATGTGAAACCCATCCACGGATAAATTACACTGTTTAACCCCTGAAAATTGAGATACATTGGTCATGGCCGATGTTGGTATGACAGCGATGGTTATTTTCACAACCGGCTTCGCTGTACTTGGTATGCTTGCAAGCTGATCAAAGAGCATTGTGATTTAGCTGCAACCTGTTTTCGTTGGGGTATTGGTTTCTGCAACCATTTGACTCATCTCGGCCAGGGTATTTTTAGTGTCAGTGCTTGGTCTGGCTTGTTCTGTAGCCCTCTCAATAGTACCGAGGCCTGCTTCAGCTTGTCTTGCTAGCGAGCCTTACAACCTCACAAACTTTTTTGAGGTTCGCCAGACCCCGGATCTGTTTCTTCAGGCGTGCCAAGGGGTTTTGCAGTCTTCGCCAGGCAAGGCGCTCCGTTGTTCTGCACGGGCCGGCGCCTGTAGCCGTGGGCCTCCAGCAGCGCGATCAGCTCCAACCCCTTGGCGCGGAAATCCGAGTGGTTGCTCTGCGGGGCGCCCCAGGTCTCGATGATCCTCGGCTTGACACCGGCGACAAGTTTTGGGTATAAAGAGCCCCACGGGCTTTTTGGATCGAACGCCGGTCGACACCAACCAGTTCCCCATGTTCAGCCTTGGGGTAGAAAGTGTGCCATTGAACAGCGGAACTGCTGTGGAAACCGAAGGAAACCAGAAGGAACAGAGTAAACACATTCTGAGGATTGCAACCTCGTAGGTCAACCTCTCCGTGACCAAACCTGAGCTTCCAGTGTTCACCCGCCCACCTCGGAACTCCGGCCCAGTCCGATTGGGATTTGGGTTCCGTCCCCGTACAAACTCAACGGGCGCTCTAAAAAGGACCTAAAGCAAAAAGGGGGTTTGGTGCCAATTCGATTCAGCTCACCCCGCCCTGCCTTTTTCACCAGAAAAACAAAAACACTGGATTTGACGGGTCTTTTCTTTGACCTGCATGTTGGACCCCCCAAAAAAAATATTCACCACTCCTCCCACCCATTCCCACCACTTCCCTCCCCACTGGCCGTGCGCGTTCGAGGCGCCAGGCGCCCACCTCGAAGGACTCCCAGGGGAAGCGGCGCAGCGCCTGCAGCTCGAAGCCCTCCACGTCCAGCGAGACCAGCGCGATGAAGCCCGGGCTCCGCGTGCGGTTCAGCAGCCCCGGGAAGGAGATGGTCTCCTGAGAGCTCGCGCTCCAACTGCGAGGCGTCCAACAGGAAGCCCCAAAGGACCCCAAATGGAATTGAGATGGAATTGCTCTGACCGAATTCGTGGTGCGAGGCGTCCCAAAAACGGGAAACCCCCGAATGACCCTAAAGTGAGTTGAACTGTCCTTTGCTGTGCTGGTGAGAAGAACCACCACTGGGAGTCGGCGCCATCTGGAAGATGGGCGCAAAGGGCACTTTGTCGAGCTCTACAAACTTAGGTGGAGATGCGCTAGGTGTTTCCCGCCAATAGCTATCAAATTCAGCTGCAAGCCCTTGTTTGGGCAAGGATGGTGTCATATTACCAGAGAACAACGAGGCGCCCTCTTGCTCAAACAGCATTGAAGCCAAACCGACATGAATCTTCAACCTGATTCGTAAAGTCCCAGGCAAATGTCGCAACGTGACCAGTAACGTGGACAAAAAACAAAAATGCGCTTTTGGCATCATATCCTCGAAAGGGTTACGCCAACGACTTACTTCCATACTTTCCCTTAGGGGTCCAGGCTAAGTAAACTCGATGACCCAACCAGGCGGGATCGATCCGCTGTGAGGCAGCGACCCTTTTCAGCTGCTCTCGGGGCTGCAGCTGATGTCTCGAGTAGTCCCTCGAAGAATTGGAGTGGCCTGAATATCCCCACCAAACAGGAAGCGTGAGTGCAGTAACAGCTGAGGTTTCTATTGGTTTGGGGGTCAACGCTGCCTTGCTTCCAGCTTGGCTTCACTGAGATTCTTCGCTTATCATCGAATCAACCCCGTCCGCAGTCGGATTCACCTTCTGGCGCCTGCGTGTTTACAATATACCACCTGAACTAGTTAAGCAAACTTCTCAGGTGAAATTTGTTCAAAGTAAAAAAAGACATCTAGGTCCTCCAGTAGAGAGGATAGAATGAGGGTACCCTTTTTTTTCTGTAGTTTATTTTAGTTGGGAAACCCTCCCAACCAAGAAAGGGGTGAGAAACGGCACCTAGCTGGGGGACCTAGACATCTTTCTTCCGGACCCGGTCCCGGTTCCCTCCCAGCAGCCGCATGTGCTGCCAGGTCGCCACCCCGTCGCTGGAGGTCCCGCGGATCTGCCGGAGCTGGCCCAAACCCCCGAAGTCCACCTGCAAATGGGGGAGGTGTCCCCCCCCAAACAAGGGGAGGTCCCGCCGTCCCGGCCCCACAAAAATTTAAATAAGGATCCCTCTAAAAATGAGGCGTTGGTTATATATACAGTTATACAGTATACATATGATATCACATTTTGAATGTTGATCTGCAAGAGTGTAATGGCAAAACCAAGGCCGCCACAGCCTGAACCCCCCGGCTTCCCGCGGGACCGGGGCCTTCTTGCCATCGGTGTCAGACATTGCGTTGGGGAAGAGTTGGCATGTGCGGCCTTCGAACCTCGGCCGTGGAACCGGCATCCTGCGGAAGAGGGTGATGAATCCAAGCTTTGCTTGGGTCAGGAAACGGATGGAAGGCGCACACACACACACACCAAAAAGAAAGACGACAAAGAACTCAACTAGAGTAGATGGAGATGACACACACGCGCACACACCGTTGCGAACATTCTCACGCACACACAAACGCGCGATATTTGGACACATCAACCCACCCGAGTGATGGACAAACCGTCGCGCCAGTTGGCTTTCCTCCCACATCAAGTGGCTTTTAAAATCCGCGGGGCATGGCCGGAAAGGGCTCCACGCAGGCGCCGGTCCAGCCCCGCTCCTGACAAAGGAACCCACACAAAAAAACAGACACACACACACACACACACAGGACACACACACACACACATCAACGCAATAGATGGTAGGGAAAACAGCCCGTGCTTCGGCAGGGCCAACACGCTCAACGGCCACGGGCGCCATCAAACGCGAAAATCCAAAAGGTGTGCCAGCGAGATTCTATGAATTTGGACAAGGTCTACCTCAGCTTGTGCCGCCCCAGCTGAAGATCATATCTTGGGTTATGGCCCACCCATATTTGGCGAGCCTTGTAATCTATGCTCCAAACAGGTCCCAGTTTTGGGGGCCCAGGATTGAGTTTCTTGTTGATGCTTTCGGGGGCAACTTCATGACGCCGCAACGGAAAACACAACTCATGTATGGATCAATGACAATGTTGTTCCCCTCAATGACAAGACTCGGCCCCTGGTTGTAGGAATGTCCTACCCAAAGTAGCAGTATGCTGCCAGACAAGTTGTCCGTGGCTCCTTTTCTGAAACTACATTCTGGCGGCTCTCGCGCATTCAAAGACAATAAATTCAGACAATTGGAGACAACATATTCTCACGCAAGGATCTTCACTGTAGGTGAGCTCGGTTTGCCTGGTGGTAAGCTCGCTGCCCTTTGTGCAGATCTCTGACTGTCGGAAAGGCCCCCCTAACCTTTAACGATGCAAATGAAAGCTTGTCAAAATGCGTGTCTCCTGTTCGGACCCCTCTAAAGGCAGGCCCCACATGAACCATGGCCCAAACGGGACCGGTCCCTTGATTGACAACCCAAGTCGATCTCCTCCAGCAGCTTTGTGTTGGAGCACCAAACCCCGTTGAAGGCGCCGATGTCCAAGAAGAAGGGGTCCTTGAGCCGAGGGAAGTATCTGATTCGCCAAGGTCTCACGGCTGAACAAAACTCATGGCGCCCCTTCAAGCAAGTCATGTTTTTCAGGGGGCCTCAACAAAAAACACCCTTCGACAAAATCATTGTCGCAGGCTTGGCAAATCTTTGAAGCCACTGATACCGAGCAATGCCTGTGCAAAATAGATACAAAGGTCGCCACGCGTCACCTTCCCTCTGCGTTGGTGCTAACACGGGGCAGCAATTTAAAACAATTCAGAAGGGGATCTAAATGCAGTATTGGGAGGGGTAGCCAATTTGCACAAACGGAGGTCAAAAGTCTGTCCCTCGCAATAGAATCCTGGAACTCTTCTGAGACCCTGAGTGTTGACTGGGTTTTTGAATAAAGGATAATAAAGGCATCCCCTACACGGACCCATTAGGGCATGAGAAAACCTCTTCCAAACACCAAGGCGAACAGTGGAACGTCCTTCCATCGGTTCAGGTTCGCCACCCGCAGAGCCCAGGTGTCCTGATAGTTCTGCCTCAGCTTGCAAGTCTCAGGTATGGCAAAGAGCCTTTGCGTTCCTTTCAGGAACAAGTTGCGAGGGTGGACTTCGCGCAAGGCCCCTTTTAGGTCATAGTTGGCCACGTTTGGATAGCTTACTTAGTACATCCAATTCCAAATTGTATCGGTATGGTTTGACCGCTTTTGGGCCTGTTCGCGCTGTCGCAACCAAACTCCCAGTAGCCAACCTGTTCTTTTGCAAATGGTGTTTGTTTGGAGAGTCGGTGCCCATAGAGGTCCAATGGCTTCAGTAGCGCCAGGGAAGACAAACATCCGTTGGCAGAAACAATGGCAAAGGCTTTTTGAGACCATCACAAGCAGACCAAACCTGGTCAAAACGGTTTCTTTCGTAGCCACATTGAGAACGTGCATCAATTCCCCATCTGGGCCCAGTACGCCAAAATCCCCTTACAATATTATATAACCTCTAGTTGAAAAATAGCCGCCTCGAACAATCTAACGCAGGGCGCGCGGGGTTGCTATGCGAGGCATGAAGGAAACACAAAAATTGCATGGTGCGCAATGAGTGCATGCGAATCATCGGGCGGCTCCGCTGCATTGCGTCTGAGCTGCGCAAAGGTCCCGTCTGAGCCGGGCACGAAGACCAAGCGCTGCCAGAAGGGTACGGCACCCGAGTACCCCAGCTGCGTGAAACTTAGGAACCCGTCCTCCAAGGGTTGGCTTTTTCGGCCTTGCCATGTGTTTTTGCTTTGTCCTCTTTGACTGTGTTGTGCTATTTGTTGTTATTTGTTGTGGTTGTTCCTCGTTGGTTGGTTGGTTGGTTGGTGTGTGGCCAGCACATGTTAGTGAGGCCAGGCCCGCGCTTCCCCCCCGGCCGAAGCTTGGGGTTCAAGCCGGCCGGAAAAATAAACGCAGCCAAGGCACAAGCCGTACCATGGGGAACCCAAGGCCGGCGCAGCTAAGACAGGGGCAGATGGTGGAAACAGGGGGGCCTGAGCATGAGTAACAAAGAAAACGCAGGAACAGAAGCATGCAAGGCACCCCAGAACAGGCCCGGTAGGATGTGAGACCTTCCCGAGCTCAGGCCAAGGCAATGGCAGGCTCGCCTGCAACGACGGTCAGGACCATCCCCCCTTCCCGACGCAGATTCTCGATACAGAGGCGAAAGCCAACTGAAAGGCCAGGCGGAGAGCCGAGAGCACCATCACAGGCGGCTAGCGCCGCGGAGACTGTGACAGGGTCGGATCTACGTTGCAGGAAGCGGTACAGCCATCGCTTGATGCGACGGTTGCTGAGCACAGGCGGCTGAGCCACGCCATGACCGGCTCCTGGATGGACCTGACTAACCACCGACTCTATGTGCGCACTCAGGGCTGCCTGCAAAGGAGGATGAACTGGACAGAGAGGTGAGGCAGCAACTGCAGACAACCAAGAGAACGCACAGTCAGGGCAGAGCTGAACGACGTGAGCCGCGGACGGCAGGTACGCTGCATGAGCGCCACAGTTCCAACGACAGTGAGGCCGGAAGTGGATACAGTGGTTGCAGCCACGACACACAGCATCCCCAAGCCCGTGACACCATGAGCAAGGGAGAGGCTCGGGCGGGGCCGGAGCCAGCCGCGCCCGCCCGCACGTGGAACACAGATCAAGGGCAGGGAGAGGGCCAGGAAGCGCAGGACAGGCGCACTGCGTATGAAGGATCTCAAGAGCAAAAGGCCAGGTGACAGCGCATCCCCACTCAAGCGACATGCCGGTGCGGACCGGGACCCCGCTGGCTTGGGCCAACCGCACGATTTGCTGAAGGGTACGCTCCGAAAGGCGACATCCCAGCTCAGAGGACAGGCGTGAACACATAATTACAAACGTTAACGCGAACCACCTCAAAGATGACAACCCCTCCAGGGGATGTGCTCCACGCCTGGTAGCGCGCCAGCGGAGAGGGGACACCTGGACGGATACCTGCCATTGCTGGCTCGGGCTGCGGCGCCGAGCACGCTTGCATGGAGCGCACGCAGGACGCCACGAGCCCAGTCCGAGCAGAGTATTGCCAGCGAGCGGCCCGAAGACCACACAGCAAGACAGCAGTGAAATCAATAGCCGGCCGGAGCCTGTCCACAAGTGACCGGTGCCTGGCCTGCTCAGCGGCGAGCTGGGCAGAACTCAGAACGCGCGCAAAGCCTTCAGCTGCGTCAGGCAAGGCATCATCCGGCACAGGCGTGCCCCGAGCTGCCTGGAGGATGGCACGACCAAGTGCAGCAGGTAAAACACCGCGGTGGGCGAGGTCACATTCCCCCTCAGCACATACCGCTGCCGCACTATGGCCCCCAGTGTCGGCAGAAAGAATGACTTCCCGGTCCAGCGTGGGAACAAGCCAGCGCCAGGCTGAGAGCAAGGGCCAGCGGGCCTGCACCTCCGGGGCAACGCTGCCAATGATCGTTCCCAGACCACGCGCCTGCACATCCCTGTGCCACACGTGTGCAAGGCGGAGCATAAGACCATGGGCATTCAGCTGATCCAGCCGCTGTTCCAGCACATCGCGGAGTAGGTCGACCAACGGCTTCATGACAGAGCAGCTCATGATAACATGCCGAGGTGTGCCCGGCAAAGCCCTGCAGAGCGGGCAAGTGCGAGGGGAGGCAAGGATATTACGCTCGTAGAGGTGGCGGGCAACTGACATGAGTTGCGGGTCAACTTTGATACGCTCAGTCCATCCGCCCCCAACGAGACGGACGCAGCGGAACAAGGTAACCGAGAGATCCACCGAAGGCTGATCATGCGGGAGGCGAAGCGGCGAAGTGGGGACGAAGCACCAAATCCTGGACAGGAGGTGTAGAAGGACATGTCGAGAACATCCGAGAAGACGCAGCCTTGCATAGCAGCGATTTTGCCCTGAACCGGGCGCTTCCGCCATTCCATCAGAGCCTGCTGACGAAGGACGCCTCGTATTGCAGACCGAGTGGGGGATGTGACCATGGCCTGATGGTAGCAGAGAAAAGCAAACGGGCCCCCAGACGGGAGACGTGCGGCT